ATCGTCAGGGTGGATAGTGGGTTCTTTTAGATTGATGGGGACCCCAGCCAGGCTGGGGTCTTGAAAGGCACCCTAGCCTTGACAGGTACGGGGGCCAGAACGGTTGGTCAGTTGATTTGTTTGTTTGTCTATTTACCTATTTACTTTTGGCTCACCTGCGGCTACTGCCCAGGTTCGGCATGTTCTGGATTTATTTGCTCTGCTCTGTTACATCCTGAAAGGGTGAGCAGGACAAAGGGCTGCTCCTGGTTGTCTCCTTATGATGGTATTTAAATAGGTGTTAGTAAAGTAGGAAATGAATGACTTACCCAACTCGTTCTAACAGGTAAGTAGCCTATGCCTATGTACCCCTATGTGGTTGCGAGCTATGCTGGCGAGGGTTCATGCCTTCGGTAGGGTCGCCCATGCCAGACAGGTCAAAACCTTAGGACCAGATACACTTCATTCTTGGGCAGGATGAGCTCATTAGCCTTCTGGCAGTCATCCTAGGAGAAGGACAACTCTCATCCCAAACCCGGGCAGATGGAGCTCGCTTAGCCCTGTAAGGCCATCCATCTAAGAGAAGGCCACTCTAATCAAACTTACGTCCTGAGGACCTCGCTGCCACCGTCCAAGCTTGCTCGGCCCTGGCAGATGAACCTTAGGATTAAAGGGTGGGTTCAGTTCCGCGCATACTGCATCTCACCTAAAAAATCCATTGCGCAGGCTTGAAGGCTTTACCCACATGCAAAAAGTCCTGCAGCGACGGGCGAGGGTCAAAACGGTAGGTGAAAGGTGCACTGGGAGCCGCAGACCCAACCCTGCATGCAGGCGGTTCAGGATATTGGTCATTTGAGACTGACGGAGATGAGAGTCTCTTGGGGCAGCACCCTGAACGACCAAGCAGCCTTTTCAAGGACAGCACTGCTTGCTCCACTCGGAGAGGGGCCTAGAAAAGGTGGCCTAAACAAAGCTCATCTCCACCTTCACCCGGTTGGTTAACCGCAGACCAACGGGCATCTTCTTCCAATGCGGTCGCACAAAGAGCAAAAGACACAGGCATGCACCTGCCTCCAAAGGTGTACCTAAATTAACTCTAGCATGCTGGAACATCAGAACCATGCTCGATTCTGCGGACAGCGGACGTCCTGTGCGTCGCTCTGCCCTAATTGCCCATGAGCTGGCTCGTCTCAACATCGACATTGCTGCTCTCAGTGAAGTTCGCCTTCATGAGGAAGGCAGCCTCAGAGAACACGGTGCCGGTTACACACTCTTTTGGTCAGGTAAGTCCAGAACCGAAAAACATCTCTCTGGTGTCGGCTTCATGATCAAAAACTCTATTGTCCCTAAACTCGAAAATCTGCCGACAGGTCACTCTGACCGCATTATCTCCCTACGCCTTCCACTAAACAACAAGCATCACGTTGTCATCTTTAGTATATATGCCCCAACTCTCCAAGCTGACCCTGCTGAAAAAGATAAATTTTACTCTGACCTGCGCTGCCTTACCCAAAAGGTACCAGCAGATGATAAGATCATTATCCTTGAGGATTTCAATGCCAGAGTAGGTAAAAATTTTGAAGTTTGGAAAGGAATATTAGGCAAGCATGGTGTTGGAAACTGCAACGATAATGGTCGACTTCTGCTAGAATTCTGTGCAGAACAACAGTTTACCATCATCAACACTATCTTTCAGCAGAAAGATAGTCTAAAGACAACCTGGATGCACCCCAGATCTAAGCATTGGCACCTCATTGATTATGTCTTGGTGCGACGGAGAGATGTCCGCGATGTCCTCCATACCCGCGTGATGCCCAGCGCAGAATGCCAAACAGACCATCGGCTTGTGCGCTGTAAACTCAATTTCAATCTCAAATTCAAACCCAAAAAGGGCAGTATCCCAAGGAGAAGACTCCAAGTTAACGATCTCCAATCAGCCACAGTAAGAGAAAGATTCCAGGCAAACCTTCAAACTAGGCTTGAAAACCATTCCACAGATTCTGCAGATTCCTCTCCTGAAGCAATTTGGCATCATATTAAAAGCTGCATCCTGCAATCCTCTGAAGAATCCTTAGGGTTCTCCCTCAAGAAGAACAAGGACTGGTTTGATGAAAACAATCAAGAAATCCAGGAATTGTTGAGGAAGAAGAGAACTGTTTGAAAGTTTCTTCCTGCCCTGCTGTGTGCTGCCCGTTGGCTGGTAGAGAAGCAGAGCAGAAATTCACTGTTGGCATCTGGCAAAGCAGCAGGTGACAGCAGTTCCGAGGGGGAGGGGGGTGAGGTGTCTGCTCTTCAAGAGGGACAAGACAAAGGAGTTGGGGAATTGTCCTGGTGTGGTATATTAATATAATATAAAAGACACGACCCAGCAGCCAGTTGGCAAGCAGTCAAATCTGTTTATTTAAAAGAAAAATGCCTCCTTATAAACCCTCTGGAGGACATGTGACTGCCACCCTCACAAGGCCCAGGCCGCCTCCTTCCCACCAGGCCCAGCAGGGCCGCCCTCACACCTGCCCTGCCCTGCCATGTCCCGCCCGGTCCCACCCTGCACCGTGGCCTCTGTCACAGCCCACGCTGACGTGCTGAGCCTTCCACCAGCCATTGTGATGTCACAGGCGCCAGTCGGGCACGGCTTTGTTGGTGCCCGCAGCCGGCGCTCAGAGTTGCTGTAGCCTCTCGGGGAGCAGCAGCACATCCCGCTCGGGGAGCGTTTGTTGCGCGCCTGGATCGCCGTCTTGGCAGCTGCAGGCAACGATCACTGCACAGGGCGACCTCGTCTGCCTTGTGCTTTATACCCTGTGCCCTTATTCTCATCCTTGTCCCCTTTGTCACCCTCACCCTAAACCTCGCCCTTCTCCCATTCTTCATCCCCACTTGGTGCCCGGCAGCCCGTCGGGGGCTTCTTGCCCTTCCTGCTGCTGGGAGCTCCAAGCAGGGTCATGCCGTGGCTTCTCAGCAAGAAGCAATGGCAGTCGCCATCCAGCAGCAGCAGTGGGCAGCCCTGGGTTGCCACCAGCTCCACCAGCGCCTCCCAGCTCCGGGAGCAGGGGCTGGGCAGGCTGCACCGCGCGGCCGCCCGCAGCGACCTGGGCTGGCTGAGGCGCTGGCGCTGCTACGTCAAGGTAGTCGGCATCGACAGGCCAGACCAGGAGATGCGGTGAGTTCTGGGCCACGCTGATGGCACACCTGGGCTGCTCCTGAGCCAAGCTGCAGTAGTCCTCGGCAACCCTCTCTTAAGGACAAGGCTTGAAAAGTGACATTTGCCCTGTCAGCTGGGAGAGGGAACTCTTGAGCTTTTCACTGCTTGGAGCTGCCGGCCGGGTTCCAGCGCTGTTGGAAAGGCGTGTTGCCCACCTGCCGCTTGGCCGTGGTCTCTCTGCAGGGCTGTTCTGCAGCTGCTCAGCCCTCACCTGTTCTCTTCTGCCCTCTGGCTGATCAGCACAGGCTTGCAGCAGCAGCAGTAGCAGCAGCAGCAGCAAGCGGGAGGAGCAGAGTCCGGGCAGGGTCCCCAGGGTGCTGGGTAGAGACACAGCTTGGGCTCGTCCTTTGTCTGTCTGGGTTAAGAGCATCTGTTTAATTTTTAGGACACCTCTGCATCTGGCTTTGGCCAATGGCCATGCAGATGTCGTTAGATATCTGCTAAGAAAGAACAGCCAGCCCAACCTCGCTGACAGCTTCAAGAGAACGGCCCTGATGAAGGTGTGTGGAATGCCTTAGGAGCTTGTAGGTGGGGCTCAGTGCTGGTGTGTTAAAGGGGAGGTGTCTGGCAGGATTCCTTGCAGGGCAGGGCCATAGAAACATGCCTATTGCAATGGGCACGGCATAGGCCTCTGTTAGCTAATCTTTGCAGATGGTCTTCTATGGCAGCATTCAGGAGCTGAGGGAGTTGTGACAGAGGGGCATGTAAAAGTTGGAAGTCTTTCCCTTTTCATGTGTTGTTCCCAGGCAGTCCAGCAGGAGCAGGAAGAATGTGTTGCTCTTCTGCTGGCACACGGTGGCGACCCCAATCTGGCAGACGCTGATGGCAACACTGCCCTTCACCTGGCTGTCCTCTCTAAAAACACAGCTGTAGCAGGGCTGTTACTGGAGCATCATGCCAAGAGTGTTGCTCAGAACCAGGTAACCTTGGCATGTGGCTAAAGCTGCTCTTTCCAACAGCTGCACAGCTTGTCTGTGTCTTTCTAATGGGGATTCTTTCTCCTTTCAGTGGGGATTTACCCCCTTCAAACTTGCAGCCTTGCAACAGCATGAGGAGATTCTGGAGTGCCTTCTGAAAAAAGCAGCTGACAGGCATGCCCAAGCCCAGGGGGAAAGGTGAGGGCTTTGTCAAAACAGCCCACGGGTCTTCTCGGTAGTCTGCAAGTGTGACCCAGACGAGGGGTGTGGCAATGAGCTTGGAAAAAGAAGGAGGAGCCCCGTGGAAGCAGTTCCCTGTGGGACTGGTAAATGCAGGTCTGCACTTGCCTACTCTCGTACCTTAGGGGCTCTTGTCCTTTGCCCGCTGAGGTCTGCAAGAAAGCCTTGTCTGTGGTGCCCTCTCCCCACACAGAGCCAGAGCCATGGGGAAACTTGCCAGTAGCTCAGCAGCGTGGCTGCTCTGCAGGCCAGGGGGGTTTAGGGCAAGGCAGAGTTGATGCGTTAAGTGCTCTGAAGGGAAGCGTTGGGGGAAAGAGAAGCAACAGTGTCCCAGGGGACACGAGGGGCTCCGAGCGCACAGAAGGAGAAAACTTCCTGCCATGGAGATGGTCAGGCGGTCGAAGGGCTCGCCCCGGGAGTTTGTGCAGCTGCATCTGTGGGGACTTGGAAGAGCAGTGCAAGGAGCCCTGAACAACATGGCCTGACCTCATAGCTGAGGCTGCTTTAGGGAGGCCCCTTCTAAGATACATTCTCCAATGCTTCCATGGACTTGGCTTTACTTTCACGGAGCTTGTAGGAAAGGGGGGAAGAGCTCTTTTGGGAGCAAGCAGGGGAAAAATGAGGCAGGATCAGACATGTCTCAGATGAAATTTTGGATGCTTTAGGACTGTTCTTGTGGTTCCTGGAACCCATGAGGCTCACCTGGAGGAAGATAATCTGCGCTTGCAGGAGGAGTTGGACAGGGCTGACACGGAGGTATGGAAAGCCTGTCCCCACAGGGATAAACCTGGGGGTGCCTGTTGCTTCCTATTTCTCATGAAAATGGACAAACCAGTATTCTGGGAGCCACTATGACAGAGACCTAAGGAAGCAGCAGTTCCATCGGGCTTTGATCTGCCTCTGTCCCTCCGGCCCCCTGCCCCACAACCCGCCCTGCTGAGGCAGAGCTGCCTCTCCTTAGGGTTTCACCCCTTACTGCTCAGGGGGGCTGGGGCTCCTCTCTCTCTGCTACACTCGAGGTCTTCCTGCTTTAAGAAGACTCCCCACGCACCCCTGGCGCCATTCTCCACTTCAGGGCAGGTCTGGGGAGCAGTTCACCTGGCTGCCTTTGCTGAAATGGTGCTCATCAGCTTGTCAGTGATGCCATCCTTCCTGGCCCCACCACACTGAAGCAGAGCTGCCTCTCCTCAGGCATCCTCTGCTTCCTGCTCAGGGGCTGCTGGGCGCCTCTCTCTGCACTACAGTGCGGGTCTTTCCCACTTCAGAAAACTCCCCATGCTCCCCTGGTGCAATCCTGGGCTCCAGAGCACATGTGCCAGAGCACTTGGCCTCTGACACTTGCCAGACGCCTTCCTTTAGGAAGATGAACTATTTCCCTCACCTTTTCCTGGAGTAGCAAACAAGGGAATACAAGAAACGTCCCAGGTCACAAAACAGGTCGGAGGGGCAATGTCGGTGCTCAGAACTGAGCTGTAGGAAAGCAGTGGAGGGATGGGAGAGGCTGCTGTAGAAGAGGACAAAGGCATCCAGCTTGTGTTCTTTGGGGAGTAGAAGTGAAGCTTTGAAGGGACTTGAATGGATTGCAGTTCTTTGGGCAGAGGGGATGCACACAGACATGCAGCACCTGAGTTCCTCAGCAGCAGCTGGCTCCTCTCTGGAAAAGTTCCCCTGACAACTGTGCATTCTTCCCGTGATTTTACAGCTGCGGGAGGAGGAAGAAAAGCATCTTCAGTCCGAGCATTGTGTTGGTGACTTGAAGACTGCCTTGGATGACAAGGGAAGAGAAGCAAGAACTTCTTCCCAGAAACTGCAGGACCTCCCGTTGGCATCTTCTGAGACTAATCCGACTGTAAAACAACTGGAAGAAGATGCGCAACAGTAAGAGAGTAACCCAGTGAAGCGAGGGGTCTGTGGCTTTGGGGCATTGGGTGGAAACAAGGGGACAGTCAGTGGGATTTTGAAGGACACTTCTGCTGTGGATTCTGTTCCTTAGTACAGTTTGTCTGGCATTGGATTTTCTGGCAATAAGACCTGTATTTCTTCTTAAGCTCTGCAAGTGAAAAGAGCAGATTGGAAGCCACTGTCCAGCAGCCAAGCGATAGCGCTGAAGCCCTTCCGAGAGACCTGCAAGCCTCTGCCTCAGTAAGCTGGTCCTAAATTTCCCTTTCTGTGACTCTTGAGCCCAGTTACCTATTTCTGTGAGGAAATTGTAAGAGGAAGTTTTCCTGGAGAGCCTAGGGGAGCTCAGTTTCTGCCTTCTCCTCAGTAGAGGCTGCTCAGAAAGCAGCCTGCTCCTTTCCCCAGCTGCT